TATTATCGTTCGTTTGGAGCGATATTTTGATCGTTCCAATCGAACAATTTTCTTATCGTTTGATTGGAACGATAATTTCATCGTTCCAATCAAACGATTCTATTATCGTTCGTTTGAAACAATAAATTTAATCATTTCAAACGATCCGAAATTTTGGATTAATCCGAAATTTTCGTTTCAGTTCAGATTTTTTTCGGTTCGGATTAGATTTATAATCCGAAAAAAATCTGAACCGAACCGAAAATTTTCAGATTAAATTTTTTGCAATCCGAAACTGAACCGAAGTTGATCTGAACCAAAAATTTTTGGATTAATCCGAACCATTCGGAGCTTTAATGATAATGCATTAATATGAAATAATCATTTTTTATTTTTAGTTTGAAAAATTTTAATTTTGTTATTTGATAATGATTTATATTTTGAGTTAAAGAATTCTAATTATTTTTTTTTTATTATTAATAATAAAATATATATATAATTATAAAAATAAATAATTTATAATAAAATTACATTAAAAAATAATAATACTTTAAAAATACTACTAATATAAAAATTATTTATTTTTTCTACTCCTTTATTATGTTTTTTTTCAATATAATTGATTTGATATTTATCAACTTCTTCACTATTTTTTTATAAAAAATTATGGGAATAGAATTGATGTATTTATCAAACTAACATTTTAAAAAAGGTAGAAATAATGCTTATAATTCATTGATTTTTTCATTATTTGTTACAAATTCTTCATTATTTTCATTTTTATTTTTATCATCTTCTTTATTAATATTATCACAATTTTTATCAATTTATTTATTATATTATTATTATTATTTGAAATTTGTTTCTTTTTTATGATTACATTTTTATTTTTTTTAAATTTACTAGTTTTTAAGAAGGAGGATTAAGAAGTAGTAGTTTGATTATTATTTGTAAATTCATTTAATAAATCAATTTCATTCGCATTAATAAAAAGAGATTCATCAATTAAATTAACACTAAATTTATAATCACTTTCTTGCTTTTCAGGTCTTGCATAAACTTTTCTGGCAAATAAGCTATGTGGTATAGCTGGAAAATATTTAATTTTATTATAAAGATCAGAATATTCTATTTAAAAACAGCTGAAATCAAATCTTGCAAAATAATAAATAATAGAAAAATTAATATTTTTTTTATTTTTTATTTTATTAATTATTATCATTATATTCTAAGTTATTTATACATACATATCTTCAGTATCAAAAATGCATTTATCACAAATTACTGTATAATCGTTAAACTATAAATAAAACCCATAATGAAAATTTTTAAAAACTTTAGACTCAACCATATATTTTGCTAACCCATATACAAATCCTCCATCCAATTCTTTAGATTTGATTTGACATAAAACTGTAATAATAATAACATTTTTTAATTTTTTTTTCAATTTTTAAATAATAAAAAATACAAAAATCAAACAATTATATCCTTATTTTTATATATATTTAATTTTCATGTTTATAATAAATTATTTAATTTTATTTTATTATGATAAAAAATTTATATCATTATGATTTAATAATTATTTATTACAATAGTAAAAATCATAATTTATTGATAATATAATATTTACGAAATTATTCTATTATTATTACTTAATAATTTAATTATCATCATTCTTTAATCATAATGATAACATTTATATTACAAAGTTAAAACCTGCAGCAAATATTGCACATATAAACATATTTCATCTGACAGGTGCTTGGTAGGTATGGAATTATTTTCATCAAGACAAATTTAAATTTAATTAATTAACCTAATGTTAACACAAAATTTGCTGACGACTGATTTCCTTTTTTAAATGCCAACTTACTTACATAATCTATTTTTCCATTGTTGAGAAATTTCACTATTCCTTTTGAAATTTTGTTGCCCAAATCGAACAACAAATATTTTAGTAGAAATAAAACAATTAAATTGCTAAAATAGTATCAAGGCATTAAGAAGTTGGTAGGATGGTGTTGGCTTGGTATCTGTAAACTTAAATGATAAACTTTTAATTCAATCCGTTGAATTAAATATAAGACAATATCACAATCACGCCTATATGAAGACACGACAAAAGGCAATAGTAAATGAATTTAA